GCCTGGAGCACACGGTCATGCAGGCAGGCAGCCAGGGTGCCCGGGGCTCGCACGAGACCTGGGGGCTGGGTAGCCAGTGAACGGCTGTTTCCACACTGGAGGAACAGGAGTTGCTAACCCAGAAGCGCAGCTGCTGGGGTAACGTCAGGGAAGTGGCTCGTCTCAACCCAGAGCAGAGGAGAAAAGTCAGGCAGGCTCTAAGGAATAGGGCCTGGGCATGCTGGGGAAAAAACAACAACAACAACAAAAAAACGCGTGTCCTATTTTTGCAGAGGGAAAGGCACTGGATGAAACAAATCCCTAAATGGAGAACGGGTTTGGGAATAAGCCATTCCTTTCCCTACTTGCAAGCCACAACATCATTCTAGCTCCAGGCTCTGAGTATGCATGTGCCACACACCCTGTTAAAACCCCACAAAAGGGGGATTATTTACAGTCTCCATTCTACTGATGAGAAAACCAAGGCTTCAAGAGGTCAAGGAATCGACCTCTGGTTACAAATCCAGGATGTGAACCCAAGTCCCTGGGTCCAGAGCTGATACTCTTAAGCACCCAGTCACCCTTGCTGTCCATACCTGTCTGGGAATACCTCTTGCCAGAAGGCTAGGATCCACTGTCCTGGGAATGTTTCACACGACAAAGCCAAGAGAACAGGGCAGGCCTGTCCTCTACAAGGCGTGGTGGAGAAGACAAACCCTTACAAGAAACAAAAAAGTCTGCCTGCTTCCAGAACAAAGCCGTCTCTCTCCCCTCGTGATCTCCTTGAACCTGATGAATGAAAAGCACTTTCCAGATATACCTGGGGCGCGGTGCACCTCAACTCAATCAGGGCGCTGCCAATCTGCAGATTTATCAACATGCTGGAAGGGAAAATATACGAACTGCATGCCCTGAAGGGGAGGGAGAAACTGAAGCTTCATCTCATGATGCTGGAAAATCCAAAAGAAGCCTGTTGCCTAAGCAGGACTCTCATAATCCCAGAACCACCAGCACAGAACTCCCCTCCACCATGGTTCAGAACCCAGAGCCAGCATCTTCCTTCCACGTGAAAAGCTCATTACAAGGCAAGGTCAGCAATTCCAGGACACGGATTCCATCCTGCGAGGGTACCATGGGGTCTCCCCTACCTCCTCACTCTCCTTGGGCCACCCATTCATGCCCTCCTCTTCCCACTCACCACCACATGTAAGGGTTTTCACTTCACTCCGTAACCAGCCTTCATCACAACCTAGTCTCTGTGCTCAGAACTGGAAAGAGAAGCTTCGGAATTCTCAGCTGAATACGGGTCTAAAGTGGTAGGACACCCTCAAGCTATTCAAAGAAAAACCACCAGAGGAAACAATTTCAAATCTGGCTTTACAAGCATGTGATTTAAAAATAACTCTGCCTTTGTCTGCTATAGATGACTTCCCTAAAGGGACTGCTGTCCTTAAAGCAATTGCTCAATTCTCAGGGCAAACTGATTCTTGTTTTTCCAGTACGCAGCACATACCTCCAGGAAAGCACTCCCAGGTACCACCTCTGATAGCATCTGACATGCAAACATCGAAGTGGTCAGGATGATTTCCTGCCTGGGAAAGTCCAGGCTGGCCTGGGAAAGTCCAGGAAGCTGCATCTCGGGTGACTGAGAAGCCCGTGCAGGTGGCTATAGCACCCAGGAACCACCACTCTTCCTTCATTAAGATGTCACCCCAGAAAGCTTAGCAATAACCCCATAGCCACAGGAGGTTTCAATGGATCCCTGGGTTATTTCTTCAAGGAAAATTGTATTCAGATATTTAATTCATTCTTTGATCAGACAGCTAGACAAAGGAATAAGGATGAGTACATAAAACAGGAAAGGGGTTGGAGGGCAGTCAGGGTAAATAGTAAGAGAATTCACAAGAACGCTCACCTTGTCATTCCAAGACACACTTGGGGTAAACCTAGAAATGCATAATTTGTCACCTCACAGCTTCATTTCCTTTCAACCACCCAGGCAGCACTAATGGCACAATGTTACTGAGTGTAACTCAAAAGATGCATGCTGAGCAGAGAGCAGAAAACAAATGTTTAATAAAATTGCTTTGCAATTATCTCCTGATTAGTCTGATGTCTCAGTTTTATCAACTAAAAGTGTATAAGTATACTCTTATTAACATTATATTTCTTCTTGGCAACTTAAGGTCTCCTGACCTTCTCAAAAGTTTTGCCATAAAGCATTACAGGAGGTAAAAAGCATCCACGTGTGTGACAGGACCCTGAATTAAGCCCAGATTTTGTCATTCAAATCGAAAGTCGAGATCAGTAGTTCTCAACGGGGGTGATTTTGCCCTCAGGGGACATTTGGTAGTAACTGGAGACATTTTTACTTGTCACAGGTTGTGGGAGGGGGTAGTTTTACTGCCTTCTGGAGGACAGAGGCCAGGGATGCCCTTAAACATCCTACAATGCACAGGACAGTCCTTACAACAAAGACTTACCTGAAACGTCCAACAGTGCCAAAGCTGAGAAATCTTGCTCTAGACTGAAATTCTACAATTCCCAGAATGTTCACAGCTACATCTGTGCTCTTCCCTTCTGAGGACTTATTTTCCTCAAGATTAACTTGGTATTTCTATTCTGGTCACCACTGTGATTACAGAGAATAATCAAGAACTTCCTCCTTTTTCAGGTTTGCTTGTGATATACCATCCAACACGCCCTAGAATTTTACTTTGCATTATCACCTTTATAATGATCAGCACTGTACGAAAAGCAGTGTTATTTTACCTGCATTTGGTATTTTAAGAAGAGCTCTAACTTCTTTTCCTTTTTTGTCAGGACTATCACTGAGTTTAAATGAATTGAAGAGTATTATTTTGAAGTGTGTTTCCATTATGAAAAAGGACGCTTAAATGAAGAGCTTATTTCTAGATGCCAGGCCCCGTCTGATCCTAGTGCCTTTAACTCCATAACCTAATAAAATGATAGCCACTGAAACTCAGCAGTCCTTTGTTATGGATTGCAAACCTGATTCGGGCATCAGAAGTTTCTGAAAGTCATCAATACTGATTCTGTGAGCCCTGACAAGTGACTTTTAAGGAAGCTTCAAACTCCAAAACCCCAATTCTTGATTTTTCAGTAGAAACCTAAGGGTGGGGTCCCAATATCTGCATGCCTCTTGGGAAAAAATACGGAGTTTCTAACATGGCACATATCCTGTACGTGAGAGAAAACTGAGAAATACTTGTCAACTGAGTATATGCGTTAGGCTTAGAATACCCCAAGCCAAAAACTATTGGTCAAAATCTCCTGACATTTCTCTCCAGAAAAAAGGGTTATATACTGTACCTAATTACTTTATGAAGGTATTTCAGAAGGCAGAAATTGGAATAAATGATGAAAGTTGACACAGAATAATGATCGTAACTGCTCTCATTAAAAAATAACTAGTGCTTGTCATTTGACCCTTTATACATACTGTCTCTAATTTTCACAATAGTCCAATCAAATAGAAATTATACCCTCCTACACAAAGGGAAACTGAGGGCCGGAAAGACTGTATCACTTTGTAAGGTCACACGGCTACGAAGTGGTCAGTCTCATTCTGCAGAGAAGATGACTGAGGCATAACTGCGCCTTCTCCCTGAGGCTCTGTCCCCTTCCTCCTGGTTGTTTTCTCACTGAATGGTTATTTATTTTGTTGTCTGTTCCTGGGAAAACGGCCTGTGTGTCCTAAGTAACAGGGGCTCAGGGTCACATAAAGGAGTGTTTCCCTAAGCTTCCGTGGCCTTCTGAGGTGGTCAGAGGCTAAGACTTAAAGCCATTCCAGCCAGTAGCCTTGAAGTTATAATTCAAAGTGGGTTTTGGAGAAGGGGCAGCACAGAGAGATTTGATGGGAGAGCTTCAACACTAACATTTCAAGGCAGGGGCGTTCTCTTCCTCCTCTGCACCGTTTCGTTTCATTTTAATCTCGCTCTGTGTGTCACAGAAATTCTACACGAGTTGAGGACATAGACTTCAGGAATGATCTCTAGCACAAGTCTCCCATTGTCCTGCTTTCTGTCCTCCCCGCAGCTAAGGCCCTTGGCTCAGCGACCTTCCTGACAATTTATCTGGCTGCATCTTTGTTCCTGGTTACCTGCGCTCGCTCGTGAAGTGGCCTTTCTTCCTGTTCATTTTGTATGACAGCGTACTAAAGGCACGAAGACAGAGCTCCCTCAACTTGTGTTTATATCTGAGCATTTGGCGGTGGGTTTTGAAGTACCGGTCATTTCAGGTAACGTTTCTGTGGAATATTTCAACACCATTTAAAGCCAGCCTTGGGGCCTTGTGGGTTTTGATAAAAGTGGATTACGTGTGGTGAACAGATGAAAATGAAAAAAAAAATATCAGAACAATTTGGTTTATAGGAATGGGGAAAAGAGAGAGACGGGATCTGATGCTGAAGAAGGCTAAGCCACGCTTAATGTGAGAGCTGCTTTTAGATTCAGTTTCTCAATCGACGACAACACAAGATGAAATGGATGGAAAAGCTATCTGCCCCACACCCCTGACTCACATTTTTTTCCTTTGGGCCAGAGAACAATGCATATAGGTAAACCACAGCCTTATAGACAGTCTGTCTACCCAAATCATTCAGCAAGGTCCTATTATCTGTGTATTTGGGGAATGAGGAGAAGAGACAGAAGATGAGATGGATGCCTAAATTACCCAAATCATTAACTGTAGGTTGGTATTTCTTAAACTGCAGTCCTTGGATCAGCTGCATTAGATTCCCCCAGGGAGCCGGTTAAAAATGCATATCCCTGGGCCTCATCCAGACCTGAAAAATCAGACTTTCTGGGGGTAGGTTCCATAGAATCTGCCTTTAGCTGACTCTCCAGGTGATATGCTCATTGAAGTGGGACAACCACTACAATGAAATACAAGACTCCACTTTTCAAGCACCCCTGATCGTTAAGACGTTTATATCACCCGCACCCTCTCCCTCCTTCTCCCTCCTCCCCACCTGAAGGGAGAACCTTCTGAGAGTTTACCTGGTCTGATGGGGCTCTGCATACAGTTGGGGGATGGGATGCCAGGGTGAATGGGTGCAGAGGTCCGACTGCTGAGGTCCATGACGGAGGGGGCAGCTGAGGAAGCCGGCTGTAGCCCGGGAGGGTGAGGGCTGTGGTCATGCTGAGACGGGCTGGGGGGAATGCCATTTTCCGACAAAAACTCCTCCAGGTCCATGTATTCCAACTGGAAAGTATCTCCGTCATAGGGAAGAGTTTTGTCCCATAAGGTGGGTCCCAAGAATGCTGACTGGGGGACCGTCGGGCTATTACTCTCATCATCCAGCTTCTTTTCCTTGTCTTTATCTTTACTAAATGCTGCAAAAAGGGGGGGGGGGGAATTGGAGTTTAAAAAAGAAAATGAAAAAGTCTTGCTTTTTTAATCACTCCTCCTGGCTTCTGCTACAAGACTACTTCCCACAAATGCCGGGGTTCTTCTCTAGCTGCTGGTTCTTGTGGACCTAGAGTTAAAAGTTCAGGCAGGACATGGATCTCTGCCTGTTTTTCAACATTTTCCTATTTACTTTGGAAAGAAAGCACTAGTCCTCGGGACAGGGCTAGAGACTGATCTGGGATATAAACAAGACAGCACAGGATTCAGTGCATTATTTGAGGAGACGATAATTTAAATCTACAGTGGTAAAATAACACCTGCAATTACATACAACTGCTGTGATTTTTAAGAACACAGCCAATAACCAGGCATGATTTATCCTCCAGGAAACTGATTACAGTAACAATATGAGGTCATTCGTATTTAGAAAGCCAGTGCATTCATAATTCTAATTTTGGTAAAGCAGGGACTCTCCACCCTTCTTTGATACCACGTACTGAGCACCTACTAACATACCTGGTTCTTTCCATATATTTTTCCCCAAAAAAAATCTCATAATAAACTTGCAAATAGCGACGATCCCCATTCACAATGAAGCAATGGAGGCTCTGAGACTTGATAGGGGCTTGACCAATGCCTCACATTGCAGAGAGGAAAGCTGAGAACTGCCTAGCCCACAATGTGCTTTGCTTCTAAAGCCACCGAGGTACGTCGTATTTTACAAAAGGAGTTTTTTGTTTTGGTTTGGTTTTAAATACGAAGTGTTTTCTTCCTCCTCTTCCCCAAACACTGAAGTATGATCCAACTCAAAAATTATACATGTATGCAACCTGTCAAAAGCACAAATATCAGGAAAGGTGGTTCCTCTGGATACCTGTGATGGAGGTGTGCAGCTGCCTTCTACCTGGAAGTATCACTCACCCCATTAGGTCTTTAACCAGCGCTCTGGATTTGAACAAGTCTAGTACTCAGGTGCGGGTGGCATCTGGGATTAAGCAATTTGGCTTCTGAGCTTCTTCCTCACAGAAACACAGTCTCCATCGCCATTCATTCTAATCCTCTACGGTCTCATCTCTCAAGAATCTGACTTTAAAACACCCACAGATGCAAAAGACTGCAGGCAGCACCTTCCTCCCAAGTGCTCCTCCTTAAAGGGGAGTTAAGAGGGAAGCTATGTTCTGCAGACGGCGAACCAAACCCCTCAACTCTTGTAATGCAACAGGTTGCCCTAGGAAAGAAGATGCGAGTAATCCCGGGCTACTTGTAGCCAAATGATCTTTCAAGACTTTACACTCTGAGCCGCACGGTTCACCGCACGGTTCATATCTGCTACCATGATATCGAAGGCATGAAACCCAAACAACAAATCCCTGGCGGCACCAGCTGGGTTCGGCGCCTCCTCGCACGACCCCTCCTGGCCCGCTCCAACCAAGGTTGCCTGGGGAAGGTTTGGGACTTACCAAGAAAAGGCTCAAGCCAGAGGAGGCTCCTGAGCGGTTACACGTGAGCCTGCTCCGCTCTCCCCTCCCACCAGGAAAAGTGCACTGGGAAGGTGGCAGCGCTGGGGGCGTGCGCGGCATCCCGCCCAGAGACCACTCCCCCAGCCAACCCCAGCCAGCACCCCCCTTTCTGAAGCACCCAGCCCGGGAGAACAGGCGTCTCCGCTCTCACCTCGCGTGTTCCAAACACTAACAACTAACAGCAACGATAAGCACGATCCCAATACCCAGGCTCCGCAGTGAGACCCCCGACTCAAGCCCCCACCCGCGTGAAAGCCGGCCCTGTGGTTTCTCTTCCCAGCCCGCGCTACTCTGCCTGCGTGCAGGCGGTTTCACTCTGCGTGCGGGTGAACCTCAATCTAGGGAACACTGACCTGTCAAGTTCTATCTCCCACCTGTGCCGCCCGAGCGGGACCCGGGAAGGCCCGGCCGGGTCCCCAACGCTATTTTAAACGTTGCTCAGCGAGGGGGTTCCCTCCCCTTTTTGAGGAGGAGGGATGGGGCGATAGGTGAGCTCCTCGATTTCATCAAAGCAAGGCCGGGGTGCCGGGGGCAGGGACGGAGGGGTATGGATGCTCCAGCGGGGGTGCCCGGCCCAGGAGGGGGTCCCGGAAGCGTTGTTCCTTCCCAGAGCGGGGCAGCCAGGAGGGCAGCGCTCACCGTCTTCGTGATGAAGGGGGAGCTTCAGCGGGTTCTCCAGCAAGGACCTGAGCACGCCGTAGGGAGGCGGGATAAAGGTGGGATTCAGTGGGAGCTGTCGGGACATTTTCTCCATCGCGATGCACTCAATATTTTTTTTTCTTAAAAAAAAAAAAAAACAACCCCAACCTCCCCCAAAAATGTTGCTGAGCGTTTTCCTCCGTCCTTTGCCAAAAGTTCTCGCTTTCAAGGCGGTGCAGACAGGGAAGAAAAAAAAAATACTTATGTCTTTATAAATACATCTGCGTAAAAATATAAAAACAAAAAACTTTCGGGTTCCCAATGCAGTCCCCAGAGAGCGCGCCAAGTGCCCGCGGGCTCCTCCACGACGTGCAGGATGCTCTCACTTGCTTCGAATCCCTCGTCTTGTTAAATGTTCAAAATTGCGATAAAAGAAAGAAAAAATATGCAGACAGCTGCAGAGGGCGGAAGGCACCGCACCGCCCGGCCGCGTCGCACTAGCTCAGAGGCCGCGGGCCGTCCCACCCCACCCCCCTCCCCGAGCCGGCGGCCGCTGCTCCCCCGCGCTCCGCTGCCCCGCAGCGCCGGGCTCAGCGCATCCGGCCGCCCATGTGCCGCGGCCTGACAAGAGTGACGTCAGGGCCCGCACCGCGCGCCGATAGGCGTGCGGGGGCGGGGCCCCACGCGGGCCCGCCCGTCCGCCGCCGCGTGTTTAGCATCGTCGCGCGCTCCAAATTTCTGGGACCGTGCGGCTCTAGCGGGCTGCAAAGAGACAGGCGTCGGGGCGTCAGGTCCCCTGGGCCACAGACCTGGGCTGAGAATCTAACTTTTTCAGAGCAAGAAGAGGAATGAGAAATTTATCTCAGTAGTTTTTAACCTGGGAATAATCTAGGGAGTTAAAAAAAAAAAATCCAGATGCCCAGGCCGCATCCTAGATCAATTAAATCGGACCTCTGGCCTGACATCCAGGCAACATTAGTTTTTAAAGCTCCCGGAGTGGTTTTAAGGAGCAGCCAAGTTCGACAATGATTGGTTTAGATCGAATTGAAAATACCCTTCTAAATATTTCTCCTGGTGCCAGCCAAGCTTAGCACCCTCTCTCTTGCCCCGTACTTGCTAGAAGTTCTAATGAGTTACAAAAAGCAGAGAGGGGGACGACAGAGACTCGTTGTGAACTGTTTCCCACGCTTTGAAGGGGGTATTCATAGGGATAAACTTTGGCCTGAAGTTGAGTGAGGACAGGAGAGAGACACACAGGGAATGGCATTTCAGAAATATTTGCTCTAGGAGAGAACATATGACTGTGTCTGGGTTACGAGATCTGCACGGTAATTAAAATAATTTTGTAAAGTTTCCCTTAAAGTGGTATAGGCGTTCAGGGCGATCGCAGCGGCCGCAGCTTTGCCAGTTTGGTCTCAGGGCTCTGGTGGTCGCTGAGCACTGCCAGCAACTGGGTGTGGGTTGGGTGGGAGCGCTGGCATCCAGGCTTGGAAGAGCTCGCAGCAGGCATCGGGGTCTTCCACCCCGCCTTCGTCTCCTCGCTAAGATTAGGGTACCGTCATCTGGGGAAGGAACTGAAAGAAGGAATGGGCACAAATTAAAGAAAACATTCTTTCAATGAGGCAGAAAGGCCTCTGTAAAGACTGCCTCTGAGGTGGGATATGCTGGAGTCTCAGTGGCTCTTCCCTGGAGCCCCCGATGGCATCTGGAAGCCAGGAGACCAGGTGCAGGGTGCCCCTGGCAGGGTGACTACTGGCAAGTGCCCTTCCCTCTTTGAGCTGCAGTTTCTTCATAAAAGGCATATGATCAAGGGACCTCTACATTTCTCCTCACTAGAAAATTATGACGAAAGATAAGGTACCATTCTAAGTGAGACGGTGCTGTAATGTTTCAGATTTCAACCAAATTCCCAAAACATCAGACTTAGCTAATGCCACATACATTTATTGAGCACCAACTGTATGCCAGGGACTATGCTGGAACTGGGGAGAAAAAGATGAATAAGACATATCTAACCCTCAAGGAAGTTTAGTTTCGGACCTGGCATATATGTACATTATAAGATTGTCTTAAATGAGCAAAAATGGATAGATGGAAGTGACATCTCCAAACAAATCACTCAAAAACCTACTGGCTTAAAAGAACAACCATTTTATTCTCTCTCATCATCCTGCAATCTGGCCTAGGCTCAGCTGGGACTCTGAGATGGCCAGCCTTCTCTTCCTCTCCATGGAGGGTCAAGGTTTCTCTACTTTCATGTGGCCTCCTTACATGGTCTCTTTGTGTGGTCTCTCCAGCAATGTAGTCTGACTTCTGACGTGGCAGCTCAGGGCTGCCAAGAGCCATCCATCTAAGATAAGCCCCAGTGTGCAGTGCTCATCGGACTTTTCTTGCTAATGTTCCACTGGTCAAAGCAAGACATGTGGCCAAGCCTTGAGTTGGTGTGTGAAGGTACCATACAAGGGCATGGAAGTTGGGTGGCATACTTCATTGGGAGGCCCCCAAAGTAAGAGTCTACCACAGTCATTAAGTTATTTTATCTTAAATAAAGGCAAATAAGATCAGAGAATTTATCCAACATCATTGGACAGAGCTAGTATTTGGACCAAGATCTTCTGACCGTAAGTCCAGCATGTCATTGGATGAGTATGTGTCCACTCAGTCATTCATTCGGTACTGTAAAGCTCTGAGTGCTGTGCACAGATAAATCAGACCAGAGGGATCAGGTCGGATGGGAGCTTAGAGGCTGGCTGGCGATATGCCATATGTAACCAATGTGAAAAGTGATGTTCTATGAGAAACACAGGAAGAGTACAGAAGAGGTCTGGAGGATAAAGAGAAGGGAAGGGAACCAGCAAGCTTCCTCAAAACAGGACATTAAGACTGCATAGTATTTGTACGTGCAGAAATCAGGGATGGGATAGGAAAAAGGGAATTCCAGAAGGGAATGACATGGGTAAAGATATGGAGAAAGGAAACTGACAATTTGTGAATGTGTTTTCATTTCTCTTGGATAAACAAATAGGAGTGGAGATGGCTTCATTGGGTAGATACGTGTTTTACTTTCCGAGAAACCGCCAAACACCTTCCTGAAGTAGGTGACTTATTCTACGTTTCCAGCAGCAGTTGAGGATTCTGGTTGCTCTGGATTCTCACCAATATTTGGTGGTGTCAATTTTAAAGTATTTTAGCCATTGACGTGGGTGGATGTCTCATTGCGCTTTTAATTTGAATTTTCATGATAACAAGTGATGTTAAGCACTTTTTCATGTGCTTATTAGTCATTTGTACATCTTTCCGTGCAAAGTGTCTGTTCAAGTGCCTTGTCCATTTTAAAATCGTTTTTTTTTATTATTGAATTTTAGGAGTTCTTTATATACTTTGGTCCTTTGACAAATATATGTGTTGTGTTTCCTTCCAATCTGTTGCTTGCCTATTAATTTTCTTAACATTGCCTTTCCATGAGCAAAAACTCATGGACTCATGGAAATTTAATTTGATGAAATTTATTAAAAATTTTTTCATGGTTATTACTTTCTGTGAACTAAGAATCCTGAGTTTTGGAGATATTTTCCTCTAAAGCTTTTATAGTTTAAGCTTTTCCTTTTAGGTCAATGACCCACTCAAATTAATTTTTGTGGATAGCACTGAGGTAGGGGTTGAGGTTCTATTTTTTTCTCATGGGAATTTCTGATTGTTCTAGCAGCAACTGTTGGAAAGACTTTTATTTCCCCCTTGAATGGCTTTGGTGCATTTATTGAAAATTATTTGACTGTATATTTGTGGGTGACCAAAACCTTTGACCCCAAGGGAAAGTGGGTGCTTTATTTCCAAGGACAGAATAATGCTATTTCTAAGTTTCCCGGGCTCTGATTCATATCAAGCAACAGAACAAAGTTCATCCAAGTTCATAGCTAAAATGAATGGCTCACTTTCGATGGCTCCTTTGGTTTGTTACAAGACCTTCTACAAAGTTGTCTACATTAAGGTAAATAAGAGCCTAGAGGCAGAGGCAATGGCCAATTTGCTTTTTATGTATATGTGCAAATAATCAAGTCTATTGAATGTTTTTGGTTACAACTATGAGCATTTTTAGCACTCCTGTCCTAACCTGCATGTGCTTGGGGGGGAAAAAATCAAAACTAAACCTCTGTTGCATAAATCCAAACAAATAAATACTATAAGGAGAACATTTGACAAGTCAGTGGAAAACTCTTCAGTTGCCTCTTCAAGCGAGGAAGGATAACAGAGGCTTCCGGGGTATGGAACTGTCCCAAAAATAGAAATGACCATAGAAGAAAGGTTTCTCAGAATCCACTTCTTAAAAGATGCAGCACAGCCCTACTCTGCCCCGAAGCTCTGGAAATCAGCCTTCTGCCCAGCCAATGTTTTCTACCTGTCTTATTTCAGGAATTTGAATAGTGAGGTTGGGTAAGGAAGTCTTTCTCGCAGCCCAGTGGGGGCAGATGTGATGCAGCCACCTTGGCACTGGCCCTGCAGGTCTGCAGAAAGGTCTTTGCAGGGTAAATAGTGTCTGTGTTTCAGATTCCCAATGGGTGTGAAACCTTGTTGAGCACACAATGCCTGCCACTGTACCCTACCAGGGCCTGGGAGCCTGGGGTGGAGAGAGATAAGCACTGGGGTTATAAAAGTCTTTCTATGCCAGCGAGCCAAACTTCTAGATGAAGATGTTCATCTTGTTGCCAGAAAGGGCACTTTATCCAGGAAATTAAATCAGAAGTAAAAGGCAGCACATGGGAGTTGAGCTGGATACACCTAACCCAGCTTTCTTTCCTTCCTGAAACCTCTATCCCAGCTAAAACACTGAAAATGGAAAATTGTATTGAATTAGCTTAACTACTGGAGACCCTCAAATCCGTTTTCTTGGTGCAGGAACATGCAAGCCAAAAACAATCAAACACGTGTTTGGAAGGCTAAGCTCTCCTCCAAAGGATGACTCGTGCAAAGGACCATGGCTGGGCTTCCTATCCCAGCTCTGGGTCGTGGGGTGCTTAGTAAATGTGAGTGAGGAAGACTGGGACAAACAGATAGGTAGTAAGCCAAGTATGTGTGTGTTTATTGAAAGCCAGAGGCTTTATGGATGTGTGATAGGAAGGAAGGTGAAGAAAAACTGTGTTGAAGAGAAGGAAAGAAAAAGATATATGTGAAAAAGGGAGAGAAAAAAAATGCAGTGTGTTACAGTAGAATAAACAGAGTTTGGGGTGAGACATACTTCGGTATCTACTACTGCTCCTACTAAAATAATAATTGCAACAACAGCATAGGGTAGGGAGCATTGTTTTCCCTGTTTTACAGATGAGGACAGTGTGACTCAGAAAAGTCAGTGACTTGCCATGGTCCTATGGCTAGCTGAGACATGGAGAAGCTGTAGCTGAAAACGGTTCTGCTTGACTGCAAATCTTACACTCTTAACCTCCATACAGTAAATGAATGGCAATCATCCATCCAATAAATTTGCTGGGCTTCCAGCTGGTTCAAATTCTGTCTCTGTCGTGTGACCTTGAATAACCT